TTAAGTCACCCAATCTCAGTAAAAGTCATCTGTTACTTAAGTCACCCCATCTCAGTAAATGTCATCTGTTACTCAAGTCGCCCAATCTCAGTAAATGTTATGTTACTTAAGTCACCCAATCTAAGTAAATGTTATCTGTTACATAAGCCACCCAATCTAAGTAAATGTCATCTGTTACTTAAGTCACCGAATCTCAGTAAGTGTCGTGTTACTCAAGTCACTTAATCTCATCATATGCAAATAAGCATGTCCAGAGTCAAGCTTTTCCAAATAAAAATTGATGGCAAATATAAAAATCACTAGTAAAGAACCAGATTTTGAAAAATGAATCAATAAAACACGTAAGAAATACTGGGCAAAGATACTGAACTTACTGCCAGGAAAAAGAATCGATTAACTGCCTTTACAGGTCAGAGATCTATTTAGCGAGTATTAGACGTCTACTCACTGATTACTATATAAAGGATTCTCTATTGGGTTTTATAACACAGATCGTAGGCAATATAACAAAATAAGAATGAAGTACTTTTCTTCAAAACAGTACTATTATGTCTGAAGTTATCTATTATTGAAAACTATTGAAGAAACTGAAGAAACTAGAGAAACTAGACTATACAAGTAAAGACACGCCTGCAGAAGCTGTTGTATAGCGAAACACGTGTTGCGTTTTTGTGAAACTGTTTTTAGTGAAAATCTCACAATGAAGTGTTTCGTGAATTCAGCAAATAATTTCAAAATTTAAGGTAAATTCGAAATATAGAAATACCACACCTTCATATCTTATGGGGCGTTCCACAAGGATCAGTACTGGGCCCGATTATTTTCCTTATTCATGTAAATTACCTTGTTTCTCTCTCAATTCAAGGAATTTTTACGATATTTGCGGATGACACCACGCTCCTTTGGCATGGAAAAAATACTTATAATAAGAAAGAAACTATATTTAGTGATTTAGAAGTTGTGAAAAAATTTTGTGACGCAAAATACTTGTGCTTAAATATTAAAAAAACAAACCTACTCACCTTCAGCTGTAATATTAACAATTTATTCTTGCATGGACAAATTCTTGAGAATAAAAACCAATCCAAATTCCTGGGATTCATGGATAACAAATTAAAATTTGATCAACATATTTCAGCTTTGAATAAAAAATTGGCATCAAGATGTTATGCACTTTGAATGGTTTCAAATTAACTGAAGCACACCTGAGATATGGCGTTTTGCAAAAGCGACCGGTTTGATACTTTGCAAGGTGGGAGTGCGTGAGTCATGCAGACTATTTATTTTTGAGAGAAAAAATTCTCACTGTTACATACCACAATCTTGATGAATATCACAATGGAACTTTGCTGTAATTTAAGAAAGGTGTTTTTTTTGTTGTTTATATTGGCATCTATACTTTAAATTATATTTTATACTGGGATATCTTATTTTATTGCCATTATATGTGAACTTATGTTCAAATTGTGTATATTTGTTATTTACATTTTTTGAAAGCGACTATACAAACTATTTTGTCTACAAAATTTGTTAAATTTTATGTTCTATTGTTATATTTTATCTATTAGATATGTGAACTTGGTTTTGCTCAAATTGTGTTTCTGGATATTTGTGTTTTTGAATTGTATCTTTTCTTTTATTCTTTGAAGTGCTATACTCGTATATACCAGATTTTTTAACAAGCTTTGTCAATAAGATTGTATTTTCTTGGACAGTAAAGTATATGTCTGTCTATCTATCTATCAAACGGTGAATATTATTTTTATTGCGATTATTTCCTTCAAACCGATAAAATGATGGGAAAATTGAAGGCTAGGCCACCAAAACTGAGTTTTACAGCGATAAAACTCTTCTTGTCAACAGCGACAAAACTGACAGTTATGTCATCATTCTTGAATCATACTCCACTTATTCACATAACGCAACTGCCACCTTTCTTCATTACGCGTGTCGGTTTGTGAAAGCCGCTTGAATTCATTTTGTCGCCCGAGAGTTTTAATTTTGCGATGACACCTAAGATAATTATTCAAATTGTATGTTATAAACGACACACTTAAAATTGTGCCTAAAATGATTAAGGTAACTAACGTATTTAATTTGTTGAGGATTAATATTATTGTATCCATCTAAATAGCTTTCTAATTATCAACTTATATAACTGTTTACCAGTCAAGCTGAAAGATCTTAGAATGAATAAATTCAAACAATCCATTAAACAACCACTATTGGAGGGCTGCTTTTACTCTGTCTCTGATTACCTGGGGTATTTTAAAAATCGCTCCTAAGTCTCAACATACAATCAACATACTCATCTGACTACCGTAAATATGCTATATCGTGTTGTTCTTTCATGTTTTTAATGTTAATCTTTATGTTGCTTATGTTGCTCTTTTTATCTCAAATTATATTTTATACTCATCCGATCTGAAATTACTTTTGCTGTGCGTAAGCATATGTAACAAATTTGTCATGACTTGCTACAAACATGTAAAGTGTAATGTGGTTAAATAAACTTCTATCTATCTATCGCATTTGGTATGTGACCGTTTTTTCAACATCAAAATAGATATAGTAAGCTACTGTTCGGATCATCGGCATATAAACTTTGAAATCGGAGGGTCTAATACCTCGATCATATTTTATCAAAATGCCCCGACAACAAACTAGGTTATTCCATAACCTCAAAAACATTAATAACCGATTAATTATCGTTCTATTAACGATATTTACCTCTAATGGTATTCCTCAAATAAATCAATAGCGCTACTAGTATTCAATCCTTATGACTTTTAGTAACCAATGTTCAAAAGACACATACAAATTCACAGCCATCGGACTATTAGTTTGTGGGATAGAAAATTTTGAGTGAAGCAACTTTTGATAGTTTGAAGAAAATGTTTAAAAATGAATTTCGTATGTCAGTTAATACCTAAAGCATTGCTTTTTGCCGAAAATAAACACTGTTGAAGCCAAGGCTAGGCTTGAAAAACATTATTCGGACTTTGAATCTGGAAAATCAACCGTTGAAAAGTGGTTTGTTAAGTTTAAACGAAGTAAAATGAGCACTGATGTTGAGAAAATCAATAATCTTGGTGTGTGAAAAGGTTGAAAATATGCTCAAAAGACTTACCCCTCAAAATGAATATCGGGTAGAGCTATTTTTGTCTGAATGCCACCTATGAAAAATTTCCCTCATTTAATTTTCGTTAGCCCACCCTGCATGAGTTCAATCTGCATTATTTTGCGGAATCGTTTCTTTAGAGAACATGGAGTTATTGGAAAAATGTATTTTTAATGTATTTTTATGTAACGAAATTTCAATACAAAAAGTTTCATAAATGTTAGTGATGAGCAATAATCTTTGTGACATACGTTTGCAAGTAGGTGTCCACTTACAGTTTGTTCCCAGATAAAAATAGTTTGTCTGTGAGTATTCGGTCAAAGTGTATTCCATCAGTCGCATTCATTTGAATGTTAATGCCCAATAATAGTCATATGATGACATCGTATTAATAAATTTATCACTATGCCAATCCAAAATTATACTTGAGAATGGTGAATATATTTAAGTCAATATTGAAAATGTCAAAACTTTGGTGCCTTTACTGCCACACCAAGTTCGCTTTGTTTCAACTCAATATATTAATAATATATCAGTCTTATGATAGTCTCAAAAAATATTGCTGCAATGATTCAAGTCATAATTCAAGTCATATTTATGTGTGAAATTTAATATATTTCTGATGAAAAATAAAATAATAAACTTTTCAGTACTCGCCTGGTCTACCAAAAATTCAAATCAAATATTTTCTCACTAGGCAGTCCTGTCAGGAGCACATTATTTTTTCGCAATGAAATATCTGCAAGTATTCTTTTATTTTTGTTTGTTTCAATAGCATTGTTTCATAAAATTTGTTCTTTGTTGTGTTACTGCATTTAATGACACTTTGTTTAGTTTTAAGGTTAGGTTTCAATTAAGTATTTTCCATAGCACTATATAGAAGTAAAGTGTTCACTTGTTTACTTCTATACGGTGTCCATAGTATATACAGCATTCCTATCATACCATCTTAGTTCACAGGAATTTTATTATGAACAAGTTCTGAAATAACAGTAAGCAAATGACCTCTTAATCCCAAATCAAATGGTAAATTGGTAATTGCAATGGTGGGAGGCTCCCACCATTGCAATTACTGAAAGTGTTAATATTCTTCCTATATCAAATTCTAAATTCTGATTGGCGTTTCTCATAACTGGAACATCCAAGAATTGTAACCCTTCATTATTTTCAATTCCATGCGTCAACTTTATGTTTGGGATCTGTTGATGAGACAAGTCCTTAAATACTTTATCGTATTTATCGGATCCAACCAAGTTGGTGAAAGATGAAAGTAAACAATTCTTCTCTTAATTCCATTCGAAATCTGATCATGGATCAGATTAACCATGAAAATGAAATGAGACATAAAGGGTTGCTGCTTGGTCTGTTCTCGTTCTCTATCTGGAGTATGCTGTGATTTGGATTTTTTCAACTGAACATCGTGTGGCATAAATCATTTCAGTTTTACAACTGACTCATTGATTTTGAATGATCCAGAACTGTATGAACTGAGAACCAGAACATACCTACTATATCACCAAATAGTTCATTTGTTTTTAAAAAGATTCTTCAGATATTCGATTATTGAATAGAACTGGCCAGATTCTTGTTTTTTTTTTATTTAACCTTCCACAATCTGAAAAACGAACAACGATAAATCAGTACAGAATCTGCTTGTTTACTACTTATTACTGACAATATCTTGTAGTAATATTAAGATGCTTAGTATTAGCTTTGTATATAGACTAACCCTATATACAAAGGTATCAGTGACTCCATCAAAAATATTGGCATTACAGCACCATCTATTGGTACTTGATTTTGCCTACACCTCAGAGCTGTTGAGCTTACTATGACAAAAGAAAAGGATATTGATATCACAGAACATGTAGTTCCGATATTTTGTGATTGATAACATAACCAAAAACTCAAAGACCAAAGAGTCTAATCTTAACTTTTGATAAAACTACTCACTATTTTGAATTATGATGTAAAATGAATGATTCAAAAATAATTGTGATATTGTTATATACATTGAGTTTTTCGATTTTTTTTGAAACTTGTTATTCAGACATATGTATTAATGAAAACCCTTGTTTATGTCAAATAACTGAGTACACCAAAATAGACATATCAAAACTTCTAGGGGATGAAAAATATCTTGAAGATTCTAGTTATGAAAGTGGGACAGCTGTGACTTATCGCTTTTCTGGTTGTAAAAATTTCAGCTATAATGTCACTGTTGGAAATAAAATACAAGAAGATTCTGCTTCGGTGAGTATCTGAGGTTGAATCTAAGCAGGAGTCTCAAGTCGTATGTCGTAAGTTTTAAGTCATAAGAATTCATGGTGTTCTATTGTGACTACTAAAAACTTATAACTCGTAACTCAATATTATTAGTAAGTATTTATTCAATTATCTATGCTCCTGCATGAATGTTGTTGCTGAAAATTGATGAACTGCTTATGATTTCTCTAGACTTGCGACTCACGACTTCAGACTGAATGTATGAATCTACCCTAAAATAGTTCCAAAATACTTATATTTATTTCACTTCCTAGCTCATCCAGATAAATGGAATGAATACAACAAAATTGGGTATAGCTAAAAACATCCATTTCAACTTTGATTCTGATGAGGGATATCAGATAATTTACAGAAATGGTTCAGAATCTGAGTGAGTATTAATCCTCTGTTGATGGAGTCTATTGACCCCGGCCCAATATTATCTGGGTATTGAAGTTGCTGAATATACAAAAATTATTTCGTTCTATTAATAAAAATCACATTTTTACAGTGTCATTGCCACAGTGAACTTAGTGTGTGTTCAGTTTAAAGAAACATTCTTCAAAGTCATTAGCGATAAATCCAAAGTAAGTAACCAATTTTTTAGGTCAACAATAATACCTTCATCATCAGATTAAAACAATTGCATCTGGTTTTGCTCTCAAACCACTTTTGAATAAACTGTTTTATCCGGCAGTCACAAAATTTTCTTATTTCATATGGGCTATAATTTTGGGTATTACATAGAGAAGAACTACTTTAAATTATTTTTCCGTTAAGAAAAACTTACTTGGGAATTTTATCTTAATGAAATAACTGTGGTTAAAACAGAAACTGATTTTATCCTATCCTAATGTTTTTTTGTGCTACTTGTGTGTAAGATCTCCCTGATCTAATTCATGAATATTTTGTTATTAGTGTAATGAACATTGATGAAGTTGAAATTAATGAACCTTCCGCTAGAAAGAATGATTTTTTGTAAAGATTCATATAATACTCATACTAAAAGTTTTATTGAAACATTGCCATCATTCTATTGCGTGAAGGTGAAAAAGTTATTGGAAAGTTTCCAAACAATCAATACTATGAAGAATGAATCACTCTTAAGTAAAATTCTATCGAAACTGCCCAATTGTGTGTATTGTGATTAGTCTAATATTCAACATCAGGGTTGCTTTCATAAACTTATTTAGAGTATGATCATCTTACTTCAAATCGTTCATTGTAAACATCTTTTAACATACTCAGATTATTATAATATTCGGAATAACACTATAAAAGGTAAGACCTCGTTAGTCCTTAGCTTGCACAAGTTACGATTTCTGAGTGTTGTCATTCGTAGGGTTGCGATAGCTGGTTAACGGAAAAAACATATTTCAAACATATTCAAGAAACACTTTATAGTTTTACAAAAAGCAACATGTATTTTGCCATACAATATTTTCTTCAGGTGTGGCTATACGAACTAGAATCTACATATATGATGCTTTATATATATTTTTACTATTTGAAATACCCGAGTTTTATCTACCTAATTAATGTTAAAAATGTGTAACGGAATTTGAGAATAAACTCAACAAATACATGAGAAACGAAGAGAAATTGTACAAATTCATTTAAATAAATATGTAATTAATGCAATTAACTGATCTTATGTATCAGTTGAATACCAGTTTCCACATTTAAAAAAATATTCAGTAACGGCAAGTTATTTAATTCTATTTGGTCATTCAGTAAATGATCTGAATTCTTAAATCTAATCATTTCCAAACATTCTGAAAGATTGAGTTTCAAACTCTTTTCTTTCAAATGTAACCTGTCATAGTCGTAATTGACATTTGCGAATGTGAAATTGGTCTATTCATTCAAGAAACTACGTATATGCTCTTTAATTCTTTGGGAAAAAGTACTCCCCGTTCAGCCAATATAAAATGCACCTACTTCAAACCATACAAAAATATATAAAACATTGAATATGTAGATTTTAGTTGGTATAGTCACGCCTGAAGAAGCTTTTGTATAGCGAAACACGTATTGCGTTCTTGTAAAACTATTTAGTGAAAATTTTTGAGTGTTTCTTGAATAAGTTATAGATTTTCATCAAGTATTGGCAGATTTCATCACAAATCTCAAGAGTATTACTAGCAAAGTGTTTTTATTCACGTGATCATACTGCATGCAACTCCGGAAAACAGTCATTATTCCTTTTAAATTCAATATAACTGAAATAAGGAGATAAGGAGATAACAAGAGGTTATTCAAATTGATGTTATTGCTTCAATATTTGAATATGAACTTAACAATGATAAGAATCAGAATGTGTTGATTATTTGGTCGCTTTATGGAAATCAACGAACTCCATAACAATCATTTAAAATCACAGTAAAAAACATTTAAAAGCTAAAAAGTAAGATCTCTTCAATCCTTAGCTAGGACAAGGTTCGACATTTGAGGGTTTTCAAATGCTAGTTAAGTGGTATCTGTAGGCGAGGCTAGGCCTGCAGCACTTAGGCCACATGTGACCCATTGTACATCCTCCCGAGGAGTTGTCCTCCTAGGTCATCGTCCATCCTGTCTTTTCCAGGAAGGTGGACAGGTCACTGGGAGACATCTCCTTTATATCGGCAGGTGTAGGCCAAGACTCGCCGAACACACACTCTGTTATTGAGAATAATTCCTGACATTGGCATAGGACATGCCTGATAGTTTCATCTTCTTGTTCATACATCCTGCATAGAGGTGTCTCCACTAGCCCCATATTGTGGAGGTGTTTCCTTAGTTGACAGTCGCCAGTCAGAAATCCTACTGTTAAGCGTAGATTTTTTCTGGTCAACGCCAGATAATTCTTTGGCGCCAGCTTCCCAGAGTCGCCCAGGGTGATCCTGGCAAGATTGCATCCTTTGATTTCATCCCATGTATTTAGGGATTGAGCATGGGTGTGACGTTTGGCTAGTTCCGCAATTGTCGAAGTCATCAGGCCGTAGGTGCCACTGGGTCCTAAAATTCTTAGTCCAGCCGCTTCCTTGGCTAAAGAGTCGGCAATGCGATTACCTTTACTCCTGTCGTGCCCTTTAACTCACCTCAGGATAATGTTATTATCTACCGAGGCTTTGGCTAAATCTTGGTGGCACTCTAGTACTAGCCCTGAGGTAACACGTTGTCTGTTCAAGGCTAATAGGGCTTGTCTGCTATCGGTGCAGGTTGTTATGTTTTTGCCAGAAATTCCTTTCCTGGTTATTTCTTTTGTGGCGATTGAGATACTAGCCAGTTCTGTTTGGACCACGCTGGTATTTTTTCCCATTCCGCACTTAATCCTTAGGCTTAGTGATCTGGAATTACACTCCTACTTCAAGGTTCACACCAGCCATATGCAAACAAATTCAGTAACTTCTCTCGACATGTTTGAAACATGGGCTAACAAAAGGTATAAGAAATAAACTGATTTTTATTTTTATTAATTCTCAAATTATGTAGTTCAAATCATGGTAAGAAAAGTGAACTACTAAAAGATAAGGAAAACTCGTTTTTCATTATATGAGAGAAATTACATTCTTTTCTGGGGTTGAACCAGTCTAAAAATCATGAACTCTGTTACCATTTCAGTAAATGAAATGCAAAGATTGACTTGTTTTTTCATCCTGAAGATGATTTGTCTTATCTATAGAGTCAATATGAACTCTGCCACTCATATTAACATGTTTGTTCATCTGCGTCTTATCTGAAACGTCATTATGTGACTCATACCTGCATCATTGTGTTTGTGTCTGTCATCATAAAGAAAAATTATATATTTCTTCATTTTATCTTTATTGGTCCCTATTTTAATTGAACAATTTTGATTTTGATAACTGTACTTCGTCAAAGTTATCAACCTTATTGGCAAAGCATTAGTAAATTGAAATTTTGAATTGTAGTAAAGATTTCTTATTAGCAAATAGAGTTCTATTTGTGAAGAAACTCAGTTTTCAGTTCTGTAAAGTTAGCCTTTTTTTTTTTCAGTAAGTGTGGAATGACTACTGTTTCATATTTTCGACTTCAATAACCTCCAGATTGTAACTCATACCGGATTATGCTTTTTTCAGGCCCATATAAAAAACTGAAATTGATGATATTTTCTCGGAGACGATAAGTCGAATTGAAAATCTGAAAACGCCATCTTTTACAGCTTGAAAAGTGGCATTGAATGAAAGTATTTTTAGTTTTTAACATCTTTCTAAAAAAAAGTCAGAAAAAATTAAACCAAAATTGGCGAGTTTTGGTTCTATGCGAATATCTTCTAAACTAATTGGAATTTCCTGAATTTTGAAACGTCATTTAAATAAGCTCTAAAATAGACTCTACTTATCTTGGACAAAGAGTATGACCTTCTAGTGGTGGTAAATTCATAAACTGCATAGATTTGACTTTTTCCATACCTGTGCCTGTTTAAAAAACAAAGTGAATGTTCAATGTTCGATAGAGGTTTTTAATTTTTTATGTTGGTTCACTCGTCTCGAACATATGTTCACAATTTCAGCAGTTTAGCATGTTACGTTTGTTTTCTGCTATCAAATAAAAGGGATGAAATAATTTGCATCAAATTTAGTGCTAAAAATGGAATCAAGTGCTCAAAAACACTTGAAATGTTAACAGTGGCATACGGTGATTGTACTCTGAGTCAAAATGTTTACAAGTGATACAAGCTTATCATAGGTCAGGAATATGTGAATGACGACGCTCCAGCACATCAACTTCAGTTACCGTATTTACCAGATTTGGACCCCTGCGACTTCTTCTTGTTCCTAAGATTGAGGAGTATTATGAAAGGAGGGCGTTCTAGGACGATTGAGGAGATAAAAACTGATTCGCTGAGACAGCTCAAGCACATACCAAAAAGTGCATAGCAGACCTGCTGCGACGATTGGAAAATACGCTGGCGCTAGTGTCTTATATCTGAGGAGGACTACTTTGAAGGCGAAAAAATAGTAGTAGTAGTAGTATTTATTAACCATATTGATTACACTCAGTACAAATGGCAGGTCACAGAATAGGTATACTAACATAAATGAGTAAAATATATATGTATATAAAATATAGAGATGTCAGGAAATCACTAAGATTCATATTGATATAAAGATTTTCAGGAATTTTTTTCTTTATATGAAAATTTATATAAACCGTTTTATTCTTGTTCAGAATAAGGCGGTTTTTTTGAATTTTTCATCAATTTATTGATGAATAAATAAAAATTCACCTTCTGTACTTTCTGTTCATGTTTATCTAGTTGTCAAATGACTCGTAACAATGAAAATGTTATTTCTTGAATTTGACGTAATTTTAAACTCTAAAATTCATTCAACTCCAACAAGTTGTATTATTATTTCAGATTTCCCAAGGAACTAGTAAATAAATTGCTCCAAATTCGACTGAAAACTTTATTTCTTTACCTGCAATAGTAGTCCTACATTTCATCATTCAAATATAATTTTTTTTTATGAAGTTGTCGAAGTTATTTTATGTAGAAGTGACTTAAATATTCTTCGTTTCAGGATTTTCTTGTTGGGTCGCCTAAAGTATGTGTGATCACAGAACATCAAGGACTGAGTGGAGGTTCAGTTTTTTTGATCATCCTCATAGTTTTAGCAACTGTTTATTTCATTGGAGGGGCCCTGATCTCATATTTCATAAGAGGAGCAAGAGGTGTTGAAATTGTTCCGAATATAGATTTTTGGCGGAATTTACCTGGCTTGGTAAAGGTGAGAACAGCATTTTTTCTTCAGCTCCTCGATTTTTTCGAAATTCATATCAAAGGTTTCTTGTGGCTCAATTGTTATGCCTCATCAGGCTTTTTATAAAGTTGCTGATGCATTTTCAGTTCAAAAGGTAGAGTTTTTTAGAGGTAATTTTGTTCAATGGTACAGACTTCAATTTTTTTTTAATGAAAATTTTAAAACAAAATCTATAGGTACCTGCAGTACATTTCTTTAATTTCATGTCCCCCCCTTTTATTTTTTGAACGGGTCAACTCAAAAAATTGAAATTTGGGATAATGAAATTAATACATGAATACTTTATTTTGAAGTGAAATTGACAGATGAAACTTTCAAGATGGCGACTGGGCGCCATCTGGAAAAAAAATAAATGGAAACGGGAGTCATGTGACACATCATTTTGAAGTTCCTGACGAATACTTCACAACCTTAGAATATGAAGTCTATATCTTCACCTACTACAAAATGGCGGAACATTTAATAGTTTCCTAAAGACAAACACATTAATATCGATATTTCTAGAAATATTCTTTTTCATCTGCCATATGGCAATTCCAAAAACCCGATAAAGTTTTTTTACAGAACAGAATTCTGCTTAATCACGACGGAAACCATTGCAAGGCATCCTACCTATCACCACAATATCTGTTTAAGTGACGAATGTACATTTTTTTAAACGGCAATGTTAACAGACAAAATTGCCGTTATTGGAGTTACACCAACCCTCCCGTTTTCTGAGAAACACATACCCAATATCCAGAAAACATTAACGTTTCGGCAGGAATATTGGGAACCCATATTGTTGGACCTCTATTTATTGATCAGAATATAACAGGGGAACTGTATATGAATATGCTGGAAACTATTGTTGACCCTCTCATCACTGAAATCGTCGAAGCGAATCCTAATGAATTCGATATGGATATTGTATTCCAACAAGATGGATCACCACCACATTACTTCAGACAAGTAAGAAACTATTTGGATACTGCTTTTCCTGGTCGTTGGATTGGCCGTCGAGGTCCTACAGAATGGCCAGCCTGCTCACCAGATTTGACACCTTTGGACTTTTTTATAGGGCTATTTGAAGCAAAAGGTGTACGAAACTGAACCTGCTTCAATATTGGATATATTTGTAGAGATATTGCCGTTACTGTGTTCGGAAATGTTCGGCGTGAAATATCGGATAGGCTGTTCATATGTCAAGAAGTCCAAGGCAACCATTTCGAGCATCTTCTGAACTGACCTCAAGCTTATTACCTCATAATATCTAGTTAAATGTCAATGTAGTCAGGCAATTATTAAAAGTTTCGCCATTATGTAGTGGTTGAAGGTATTGGCATTATATTCTAGGGTTGTGAAGCATTTATCAGGAGCTTCAAAAAGATATGTCACAAAACCCCCCTTTTCATTTGATTTTTTTCCCCAGATGGTGCTCAGTCGCCTTCTTGGAAGTTTATTCTGTCAATTTTACTTCAAAATAAAGTATTCATGCATAAATTTCATTATGCCAAATATGCAGAATATTTATCTCTTTTAAATTTTTGACTTCATCAACATTTTTGTATTTTTCAGGATGGTGCCATATTTTTACTCTCAGGCTGTAAACCCACTTTAGTCACATCATCAGAGACTTATGATAGAATATGATTTTGTATTATAAGAGATAGTTTTTCAACTCTTTTCTTTACTGTAGTAGGCTGTTTATTTTGTCAAGACGTCATGAAAAAAATTATCCTAAAAAAGTGTTCCATTATTTCTTCACTTTTTTGAATTCCGGCAATAAAAACTTTTCATTTCCTACTCAAAAATACTTTCATTCAAAATTATACAATGGTTTTCAAAAATATAACACGAAGAGGTGAATTGCTTAACTGGATCGGCACGAGCATTAGTAAAGAACAAGAAAACAAAAATGTGACAAAAGATCTTAATATTTCGACAAGAAGGTGTGAAAAACAGATTTATTAGAATTTGCGTCTGTCAATGCAAGACAACTCGTGAATGAAAATTTTATGATAGAAAAAAAAAAATTCAATTATACTATTTTATTCAAATTAGTTGAAATGTAACCAAATCCTCATCATTATATCTTCAAATAATTCTGAAGAATCTATACAATTCTAGAAAATATAGAACTGACCGATATTTTGTATCATGGATATACTTCCAGTGTAAAATTTCTCAAAGGGTCATCATTTATTTTACTCATTTATCATAATGATGTCCATATGTAACAAAATCACCAGGAACATAAAAATAAAGAGTGTTCGGATGTGACCTCCTATTTGTAACGAGAAACTTTAAAAACAGTCGCAGAAAGTTCGAACTCATGAACTGTATAGCAGTGACTGTCAATTTCCACCGCCTCTGCAAATGAAAATATGACTTTGTGACATCTGGCAACATTGGTGGATAAGTCAGATGTTCCCGCCATTTATTTTGCACGCATGCTCTGCGTATAATAAATAATTTCAATGATCTAACCTGTAACTTTCATTACTTTTTTTTCATAATCCTGGAATATGTAATGTATATGTAATATACTATGTTGTATATATTTAGCAAATCTATGAATTTGTAATCAATGAAAGGAATATAATTCAAATTTTGTGATTACACAACCATTTCATAGTAGGAGAACATTATTCATGGATGCTGTTTTCTAAGGTCTTAAATTTTTGTACCTCCAGTATTACGAAAAAAATGGGAACTATTAAGAGAGGAGCACTTATCGTTATTGAAGGTGTCGACAGATCGGGAAAGTCGACACAATGTAAAAAATTAGTTGAGGCTCTTAAAACAAAAAATATAGCAGCCCAACTTATGAATTTTCCTGATCGAACTACACTAACTGGAAAACTTATTGACGAGTATCTGCGAAACGAACAATTCAAGGTAAATGATCATGCAATTCACTTATTATTCTCAGCAAATCGTTGGGAAAATGTGGAAAAAATCAATTCACTTCTGTATGATGGGGTTACTCTGGTTATTGATAGATATTCATATTCAGGAGTTGTATTCTCTGCTGCTAAGACGAGTGAGTATTCTGATGTGTACTGAATTTTTTATATATTACTTTCATGGTTTATAGTCCCATTTCCTTGAACTACAATGAGTTGAATACATTTTTTTGTCTTTAAGATATGGATATGAAATGGTGTCAGCATCCTGAAAACGGACTTCCGAAACCTGATCTAGTATTCCTTTTAACTCTCAGCCAAGAAGAAATGTTGTCCAGGCCAGGATTTGGTATGGAACGCTACGAAAATTCTTCTTTTCAAAATAATGTTGCCAAAATGTACAGTCAGGTGTGCGATGAAAAAGATAATTGGATAAAAGTCAATGCAGCGGGTACCATAGACGAAGTACATGAAAAATTATTGGCAGCAACAGTTGAAAAAATTGATGAAGTTGGTTCAACTCCTCTGGGAACTTTGAATTTTGATAATTCAATTGCTAACAGTTGAGAGGAAACTATCATTTTTAATAATTTGTTTAGAAAAATTTATATTTTGTCACTTTTTATACACTATATGTGGGGGGGTAATAACTAACTTCATGTGAAATAGTACTTATAATGCAGTTTGTAAGTTATATCATATTAAAATTCATAAAACTTGTTTCTCAATGTTATTTTACAAATTTGCTGGAGTATTTTTGAAGACTGATTAAATTAATTCACTCAAAAACAGGATAATGTCTATTGCCTATCCTTTTTAATGCAAAATAATCCATACACTTTCCCAACAACACAATAAAAATATCTTGTTTGAGTCATCTCGTGATACCACTAACTTGGTGATCAAGTCAAGAAGCAGTATTTTTGTTCTAGCATGCGAAAAATGATGAACTGTTTGGAACCTTTGAAATATTCTGCAATTTCATTTACAATTTGAATTTTCTCTTTATAAATGATCAATGCTAATATTGTTTTCCCTATGTTTAAATTTCATTTTATATTATTGTGCTATTGAAAGAAGTCTCTTCAAAACTCATTTTCATAAACGAAAAAAAAAAAAAACAGGATCATATTGCCTTACTTATAACTCATTTCGAGAAGTCTGGAATTTGATTTTTTATGGTGCATAAATATGTTTGGATACCTGACTTTCTATTTTAATCTAAGAAAGTATATATTCATATATCAAACAATAGAAACATTCGTCAGTAGCAGTATCTTACATACAGACAAATTGATTTTTTGTGATGTTTTTAAATGATGCTTGATCCCAAATCTACTTACATTGCTGTAGACCTAACACCAGGCCCCCAATGGGGCAAAGGGTTTTCCTGAAACCTAACAAAACCCATTTTTCGAGACGCAGGATTAGCGGCAGGATGTGCTTTGAAAGAATATTCTTTTTCCGGTTGTTTAGAAAGAATACAAGCTGGTACACCTTCTACAAGCCTCTTTTTGGAAACTGGATGTAACTTCTCCCAACATCTCATTATGTCCCAAATAACTTTTGTCGGAGCGTCAGTTTTTATTGATGTTTTATTCATGTGCGTGAAGGATACTCTGTAACCTGCATTCAAAATTGCAGACCTGTCAAATTTTTATGAATTTTAAAATCAACTACACAAACTATTGAAAAAATTATTCAAACATTGCTTATTTCACCTATTATATTTATGCAGAGTGATGAAATTTGACAGTCCAGACAATTTCACATTGTCTCTGAGGTGTGCAAAAAATTTGTGTATTTAACACCTTATGGTTCACTTTCGACTCAACTCCATATTTAAAATTCGTTCACAGATCAAACTGGCTATTACGATAAATGATGTGTTTACGACTGCACATTCATTCTTCAGAGACAAAGTAAAATATTGCCTTTAAAGTATTTAAACAGAGGGTGATGACATTTTTTCTTACGAAGTCGCCATCTATGGAATCGACAGAAAACTAACTCAAACCTCGAATATCATAGATAAATTGAGCTCCTCAAGGCGGTCAGTTGCAAAGTCTTTCGATATCGACCGCCGACGAGGTTCATCCTTTGTATTTCACTGAAAGGCAACTAGTGAACTAGAGCCCAAACACAACGTATCTATTACACAACAATAGACAGCCTCATAGGTCTCACCAGTGGTATTAGGATGAATCACAAATGAATTGTTGAACTCAACTGTTCTAAGTAATTAAGGGCGATGATATTCCTCCATTTTATTTTGAAAATTTCGACTTTAGACTAGAAATTTTGACTTTAATATAGAAATTTCAAGTTTGATCACTAAATTTTGACTTAGAACTCGACTCAAAACTCGAAATTTTGAATTTAATATGGAAATTTGGACTTTGATCTCGAAATTTTGACTCTGATCTCGAAATTTCGACTCTGATCTCGAAATTTCGACTTTGATTTCTAAATTTTGACTTTGATCTCGAAATTTCGACTTTGATCTCGAAATTTCGACTTTGATCTTGAAATTTCGGCTTTGATCTTGAAATTTCGACTTTATTCTGGAAATTTCGACTTTATACTCGAAATTTCGACTTCAAACATGAAATTTCGATTTTTAAGGTCGGAATTTTCAAGAAACAAAACAATTTCAAAATTTTTTACTTAGAAAACATGAGACTATAAATGGAAGGCTCATTTTGGTGAAAACCTTTTTCAGTTTATTGCTGAGAAGTATGAAAGGCAAATATTTTATTTCTCCAAGATGTAAATTGGAATATGTAATGCCTATTTGTTTGAAGGTGATTGACAATGTTTCATGATGAATTTCACTAGTTCGGACTTCCATTGTCTAATATATAAAATGATTTGAAATCCCTGAAACAACTAAAAAAAGAAGACTTGAAAATAAAGATTGTATTTCTTTATTTTTTGTTCAATTGTTTCATTTTTACTTGTATTTTATTTCACTATTATTTCATTTCAGGTTTTTTTTGCTTAATATAATTGTTATTTACAGCTATTTATGTTCAATTCTTTTTTTTAGTTGTTTCAGGGATTTCAAATCATTTTATATATTAGACAATGGAATACCGAACTAGTAAAATTAATGCCTATTGATCTGCTGTGCAAGTGTACGACACTTTTTATGCTATTTGGAAAATCGAGTTATGATTCCTATATCTGAAACAAAAGCTTACAGTGCTCACTATATTAAGATTTTGCAATTCAAGGTACAACATATTTCTGCAAGAGAAACACTATTTGAAGCTGGGTAAAGCTTGAATTATCCCAACACAGCAAGTGAAAGTGTGAGTTATCCAGGTTAGAGATGACTCCAAAAAAAAGTGCTAAAATTTCAACTTTGTGATGTATAAATAGCATGTGTGCGAAAATTTTAAAATAAACAAATCTCTGACTTTGTTTATTCATATATAGTTCAATACAGACAAATCACTCTTTAGTACTGTATCAAATATTTCCAGGTCCTATCTACTTGTACAGAAAGAAAATGACTTGTGTCTGCGTATAATATTGCAGTAATTAAAAAAATATTTATCCGCTTATTTCATTGGGACCTCAAACTGATAAACCGTGTGCATCACGGCTGGAATTCATCCATTCAATGAATTCCAGCTCCTGTCCCATGTTTCTGACCCGTTTTTAACTAGAGCTTTGAATTTAACACTGAAGCCAGACAATAATGCTGATATTTCGGGAACGAATGAAGGGCCAAACGGTAGTTTGGCACAATTATTTGCAAAAAAATTAGTTCGGTGCTATTTCTTTTGTTATGGCACTATGCAAGCCCTATATACCAAATATCCTAGTTTCCTCAAAAGTGTTACCAGGATAACTTGGGTTTTGATACACTACTTCCATTTATCCTCAAATCCCCATTTAATGAATTGGAAACGCACCTTACAGTCATCATTGGAGGCATTTCGACATGAATAGTTCCACTTAGTCTTTCCAAGGTATAATAAAGGGGGACATCCAGCAACTCTTCCAATATAACACTCAGAACACCTTGTATCCGTCTGAAAGTACCCAATTTTTCTGATGCCGATTGAAGCACGTCTTGTACAAATTCAGATGAATGCAGAGGTGCAGACCATATGGGACCACCCATCTGCATAAAAAACAAAAATATGTTACTTCTAGAACACATTATTTCATAATTCGATTCACTTACATGGTGAGAATGTCCACAATGTTCACATTTTTGTGAAACAGGTGGTCCTGTGGGTATTGCAAATTTCACTTGGTTCTTATGTTTTTCATTTGTTTTCAAAATCCCTAATGGTTGTAAGGTGAAGCTGCCACAGCCGGTGCAATGATAAACCTGAGACAATTTGCTGGAACAGTATTTTTCACAATAGTTTTTAACGCAAATGCTACTTAACTTGATATAAGTCGGAACACCTGGACCTCGACTACTGGAGTACTATACTATAATTTCAAATAAGTAGGTACTAAATTCTTAGAAATGATGATAAAATATGTAGAATCCCAACCTTAACAACAATGTTTTCGTTTCAATGCAATCTTTCTGAGAATTCAGTGCTTACTATTATGGAATTGTACTATAGTTGATTATTTGGGAAAAAGGCTGATTGAAGAATGATATAACGCCATTGGAGCCGGTCCCTAGCTCGTCCTTTATCAAGTTACATTTAAATTGAAGGAAATTTGTACTGTTGGGAAAGATACACACCTCGTTGTGAATTTGCATTTGTGGGCCCCAGAAAACACTCTCACGAAAACTCGAACATAAAAATCAGCAGACAACGAGAGAAGTGGTACAATATAGCGACCATAACGGTTGGCGTGGGATTCAATACATTGCAACAATATTCTGAGAGCCATTTCATGACAGCATTTCATTCTCAAAGAAACTGCGCCATATTTGCTGTAGCAGGTCTCTGGAGAATTGCCCGCTAGAACTGCCATGTCTGTAGCTGTTATAAGAAGCAAGCCCCCCTCTTTAATTGCCTGAACGGCGGAATCCAGAAATATTGAAGGGCAACCATAAGGGTCTAAGTCTATGACGTCAAACTGGTTTGCCTTGCGATGTTCATACATTAACATTCTGAAAAGCATATGAAAATTTCAGAAGTAGTAGTATACTCATTATCATGATATTAACGTATTACAACTAAGTAGAATTTATTAGAAAGATCAGTATTTCAAATTTCATTTGCAGGGGTGATAGCATCACTGTGACTAGGTTTCACAAGGTGCTCAACTCCATTGAAAATAATATTCGTCTTGATATCATCCACTGCTTTGGACGATATATCATTTGCTATAACTTCTTTGATTCTCGGAATTTCTTTGGCATATCTTATACTACGTAATCCAGTAGCCGACAATGCCTCCAAAATGGAAATACCATTTTCACATTTGATACCAATATCTTCATTGTGTATTGTTGTGAAATCGGATATATCATTTCCTTCTTTTTCGATAGATTCTTTTCTGACAAGCTTGGCAAAAGATGAAATAACTGAAATACTATATTTAATCTACTTAAATACTCAGATCGCAACAAGTTCTTCTTAAACCGTGTAACTCCTCATATGTAGAAACAGTTTGGTTTACCTTAAATCTCTGTTGAATTCTTGAACAGGATTATAAAAAACGTTTCCCCTTGTTTTTATTTTTGCCGATCCTTCAGAAATCTCCTGACTTTCAAGACTGTTGGTACTTTTCTCTGTGATATTCCCCTCAGAATTCATTTTGAAATAAAATCGAATAAACAAAATCTGAAATCATTTAGAATCAAGAAGAATGCCATTCATTTTATTGCATAAGAAGGATTCATGTACATAATTATCATGCACATAATTACCATGCTAGGTAATTATATACTATTTATACTCCTGCATGAATGTTTTCACTGAAAATCAATGATCCAAAATTTGCAAACTTACTACTAAAGGCTAATGCATGATTCCACCTTCAGTTGGATGAATATCATTACCTTCACTCTAGTTTCAAAGATACTAAAGTATCGCATACGTTTGCTTTCATTAAACTTTTAGCAAAAACTTATAATTTACGAAAATTCGACTTTGTATAAACTGATCAAATTTTGTCCTATAAATAAAAAATGGGGGATCAGATTCTATTACTCGATATGTAAATGTGCTGATAGTGTAGCAATACAGAATTTCATCTGTTACCTCTACTTGTAGTAATATAACTGAAAAATTTTATTATGTAGTACAAACATTTTCAAATTAGAAATGAGTGAACTTGAAAAATGTGAGGTTATCTTTGCTCCAGTGTTGTCATGTTGCCATCCATTTCTATGATACATACCCAAATGACAAACATCTATGGCGTTCAAACACAAGATTATTAAATTATACAGCCTTCTTGGTTCAAACAGCGGATTTGAAAAGAGAATTCCTGGGGTTGTTTTAATTAGCAACCTTCAAATATCGAATTTTGCTACAAATATTTGTCTTCACAGGTTCGTTTTCTAAAAAAAACCGGTCATTTCCTGTACACACCGTATTTTAGCAAATTCCTCAATACTATTTTGGATATAGTGAGTCTTACAAGATTTGTTGAGTTAGCCAAAAGGTACTTATTTGGAGAAACAATAAAAATAATTTTTCAATTCGAGACTCTTAATGGTCGGTCAAAAATTTTAGATTTATCATTGAGGTCAAGAATCCTTTTGTGGCGTTTCACATATGTCATGATCTGGTATGAAGCAATTTTTTATACGAACTTTCGTTAATTGGAATTCGTCACATATTTTTTCAATATGGGCATCTAGGTAGGTTTTAATAATTCTAGTAGCTAGAAAGTTCATCAAACAGTGATCTTTATTTTTTTAATTTGCCTAACTTTGATGAGTAATTCTGAAAAATATACATGGCTGAATTCGTTATGGAAGTGGCTACAAAAACTAATGAAAAACTAGATGTCCGTAATACAAAAAAAAAAAAATCCAATGAAATAACGTCCCATAAAAAGTTGAGTCATACCAGATCATAACATAGGTACTTGAAACATAAAAAAAAAATCTCCGATGTACTTTCATATTATATAAAATGGAGTGAACAAACAAAATCCAGCAAATTTAGCCAAAAATGGCCTCTAATATAGTCGCGATTTAAAAGGTTTTCATTGTGCAACCCAAATATATCAACTTTTATATGATTTAACCATGTAGGACCTGCTGAAAAAAAGATCTCCACAGGAAATGATTTTTTTTTTTCGAAAATGAACTGTAAGGACAATTTTTTTTGCAAAATACTATATTTTAAGATTGCTAATTGTTTATTCAGAGATAATACTTCAAACATTGTATTTACGAAGTTCATTAAGTATCAAAAATAATTATTTGTTGAAAGCAAACACAATGTATTTTTAAAATTTCGAATCAAGAAAAATATTTTTTTTATGAAAGTGTCATACGTAAGATTTTGAATCGAAACGGTTTGTTCTCTGTATATGGAAGTACAACGATTTCTGTAAAAACAGGGGTATAGGTACCCAGAATTCCTTGTTTAATCCTGCGGTTTGAATACCTCGTACCAGGGTTCTAGGGTTAGTATATAGCAAGTATTCGGGAAGATCACGGAGTGGGCGACATCTAGGTATTGCAACTTGAATGTCAGGAACAGAAAAAACGGTTATTGCCATAAGGAATCGTTGTCAAAACATTCAAATATTCTTTTTTACATCTATCTGTTGCAAACTTCCTTTACATGAATGAAAAAGACAATTATTAATAATGAAAGGTGAATCAAATAGGTATTGTTTAATGAGCAGGTGTGATAATTATGTATCAGAAAATGTGAACATGCACAGCAAAAAAATGAAAAATTTTACTCAGAATTCAACACAGGTGATTTTACTTCAAATGTATAAAATATTGGGTATTTACCTATGTATGCATAAGTATTCCCTGAGGATACACTACAAAAACACACTTTTGTCTATTTTCCACTATATTTCTTTATTGTTGACCGGTTTCGGCTATTACACCATTTTCACCACTTTTTCACCACTTTCACCACTAGGCACTCCTTAAACTGCAGTTTGCAGTTTGAGGAGTGCCTAGAAGATGACAGTACTACCAACTGTCGAAAGCTTTCGCAGATAATTAATAGAAGATATAAAGCTTCAAATCCTTTTTGTAGAATTTAATATTGAAATACTACCATTTAAATTGAGCGAACGAAGCGAAGTATGAAGCTCCAAGTTTTAATTAGTAATTGTACCTACATGCTGCTGGGTGTGTATCGGAGGCAACAAAGTTTTTTTAAATGGTTCAGACAGTGTAAAACTTTTTTTCGGGCTCTACTCGTCGATGGAATATATTGACAGAACATTTAAGTTAAAAAAAAAGTTGTTAAAAGTCCTTCACAAACCAGATGGTCAGCCCGAGCAGATGCAGTAAGCGCCTTGCATGAAGGTAATGAACAAGTTATAGAAGCTTCAATATCTACCCTGTGCGTTCATTTAAAACAGCGATTAAGTTCGTATAAAAATATCAGTAGATGTTTTGATTTATTTTTTCGCTTAGAAACTCTGAATTCTGAAGAGTTGAGACAAACTAACTAACTGCAGTATAGAACGCTCCTTCTTCAAATTAAAAAAAATTAAAAATGAATTAAGAAGTACAATGCTTCAAGAGAGATTAATCAGTTTATCGCTGATGTCGATAGAATCTGATGTACTAAAAAGCATAGATTCTGAAGAAGTGATTAACGATTTTGCCCGTGTGAAATCTAGAAGGGTTCCTCTTCAAATAGATTTTTGAGTACTAACCTGTAAATGCTAAAGAAGGAACTTTTGTGGACTATATTAAATTTATCTATTCGTTTCATGTGATTGTCAATAAAAATCAATATTCAACCTTGTTTATCTACTTTCTTTGTCTATTCAAACAAAATAGTGTTCTGTCAAAGTCATAGGGGCCCCATTATCCTATTATGGCCATGGCCTCCAATAGGTTAAAGACGGCCCTGATTCCAAGCCAAGTTACTCACGACGTTTCGATTACTAGTATCCACAATCGTCTTCTGGTGATGATACGAAATTATTAATTTTGTCATTTCATTTTTGTTACCAAATTAAATGGTTTCAACGTGTTTGAGATAACCAGTACCATTTTTAATTCAAGATGACTTTTTCTACAGCGTTTTTTACATTCGTTCTGTATTTCAGTCCAAAAGTAGTGGTGGAACTCTAATAAAGGAATACTCTTTCTGAACCTTCCACACCGGTGCAGTTGAATACTGATGAAGGAAGAGTAGTTAAAACACTGATCCTAACTCGAGCCACACGAACAAACTTGCAAAACAAACAGTTTTTTCGCATGGAGCAAGTTAGTCTTTGTGTGTTGCATTATTCCTATCTCTTCTCGTCGCATGATCCACCGTCCGAAATTTCTGAAAAACAAAGAATATGGTTCACAACAAATCGATCGATATACGAGTATAGTGATTTCAATGTTGAAAAATAAACTGAAATCAGGAGCGGGTATAGGAGTTCATTGAGGAGGGGCGCTCTTGAGATAAATATGTTTCACTATAAATAAATAAAAATTAAGATGTTTAGTAAACACGATGTTAGTTTCAAATGAAACTAACCACTGTACTTGGCGTGATATTTTCTGTTTATTTCATGAGAAAAATAGGAAACATTAATAATTAAACTTCACAAACTTTGTAGAGATCAAATCGTGAATCGTGAGGTGTAGTTTATGAAATTACTGTGGATCTTCATCAAGTACAACTGTACAAGAATAAACGAATTACTAATAGCTCAAAAAAAGATAGTGAGAATAATGTGTTTCAAAAAATATAATGACTCATGTAGGGAGCTGTTTACCGATTTGGATATTNNNCATTTTTACGGTAAAACATATTAGGGGGCAAAATAGGCTCAAAATTCCTTCAGATTCGTGATCAGGACTACCAACTTACTACGATTACACTTTTTTCCTGAAAAAATTTCAGTCCTGAAAAATCCGAATTTGTCTCACTTCTTATGGAAACACGCCCGTGTCTTCCGTAATATTCAAGGAGGAACGATGAAACTCTCAGGACTGATGGAAATGCTCAAAATGCACCTACCACTTGAATGGGGTTGGCCAAAGTGATATACATTGTCCGTCCACAGTAAAAATGGAGTGCGAGTGGACACACCTCTATGCTGGATGTGTGAACAGAAAGATGAAACTGTCAGGCATGTCCTATGTGAATTTCCGGAGTTATCGTCAATAACAGAGCGTGTGTTCAGAGAGTTTTGGCTTACACCTGCCGATATAAAGGAGATGTCTCCCAGAGACCTGTCCACCTTCCTAGAGAGGACAGGATGGACGATGACCTAAGAGAACACCTCCTTCGGTAGATGTACAATAGATCACATGTGGCCTAAGTGCTCTGGACCTACACTCACCCTTCCTACTCTACAGATACAGATTATAAGAATATTATGTTCGACCAATAATAAATTTGATTAATAAAAATTAATTTTGATCAACTTTTCAATTCATTATGCTTGTACCTCAACTTATCACTCAGTGGTGAGGGTTACTTTTAAAATACATATTTTGCTCAATGTTAGTTAGTAGATAATATTTAAAACTAAGCAATGGTTTTATTTTTTTAAATGTTTGTTCTTCAATGCATATTACTGAACATCAATAAAAAATCTTCAAGGACTCAGTGCTTTATAGAGGGATTATATACCCCATACTCTGAGTTGTAAACTGTTTCCCCCCAAAATGATTTTCTGGATCCGTCACTGGTAGGTTTACGTATTCTATCAAGATGTCTAAAAAAATAAGAGAGTTGGATCCATGAATGTATCAAAACAAATACTTTAACTTGACCATAGGTTTCTTAAAATGAATTGTTATGTTTTTTTTTGTTATACTGAAATTTCTGTACCAAACTCTCAATGGAAACTGTAATTTCATCCTCACCAAATCAATGTCAAATACCAATGACTTTCTAAAATAACATTTTGTGAAAAGTTAGCTTTGAGACTTTGTCTTTCACTTTTACTAAGAAACTCTGTATGGAAGTTTTATCGACTTTTTCACTTCACGCCAGCACTACATTTTGGGAAAAGATACTACATGCTGGGCCGGATTTAGGGGGGGTAAGCGTGGCTACTGCCCTAAGGCATCCACAGGAGAGGGGCTCCCACAATGAAAATAAAAAAATATCCAAACTCTGACGGGTCAGCAACTACAACGTTTTTTCCTCTGAATTTTTTTTTGCATTTCCACCAAGCATACTTTCAC